TCTCCTACCCGGCGCCCCTTCCCCCCTCCCTCTTCCTCCTCTCTCGTCACTTTGAGAAGTCGATGGTCATGTTGAATCCCTCGCAGAACAAGCTGTCCATCTTCCACGGATACTTCAACCGATAGCACCTGCTCCCCAAGTCACCACGTTCCCAGCCTCAACCTCCCGGGGAGGGGAGCAGCCTTCCCCCTCCCCGCCCCTTCCTCCTCCTCACCTCATCAGGCTGGGGCGTGAGGAGGAGGTACCCTCGTACTTGCACCAGGTGCTCATGGATTCCACTAGCAAGCAGCAGCGATCAGTCACACGCGTCCTCCTCCCGCTCGTCCTCACTCACGGTAGGAGTTGACTATCCCCAGCCCCATTACTTTGTCGCACGCCCGCTGCTTCCTCGTCATTGCCAGCTGGTCAGGATCCCAGGCGTGTGCCCTCGCAGCGAGCAGGCTACGAGCTCCAGCAGGAGTCCGTCGCCTCCTTGTCGAGTTGATCGCCGTAGTTGTCAAGTTGGAGCACCGCTGCTTCAACCTCGACGACGAGGACTTGGATCGCGTCATCTTGTCAACGATCCCCTTGAGAGTTTGAAGCTGAGAGGTCAGCTCCTCGAGCGACTGCTTAATCTCCTCCGCTCCAGTCAACGACACTTCCTCCGCGTCCATCGTCACCTGCAATGACTTGACGCTTTCAAGCACACCACTCCACACACCCTGCCCCTGTGACCAGAAGGCCTCCTCGTCTCGCTCGTGCATGGCGAGGGAGGCGCAGCCTCCGTCTCCCATCCTCTGTCGGAGCTGCATGAATCTTGACTGCAACAATGACCCGCCGCGCGCGCGTTCAACCGTCACCGCCGAGTAAAGCAGATGAAGTTGTGTGGCTACGAACACACCACCTAGAATAATTGCCACTAACCTCCCCGGCCTTCGCTTCATCTTCCTCTTTTCAAGTTCTACCTTGCAAGTTCATGCACTAGCTAGAGCTCCCGTTGCGCTCCGATCCTCCTTCTCATCCTTCTCCTCCTCCTCCTCTCCTCATCTGCGATCCGCCAGGCCGCCCACGCCTGCCATAGCCGCTGTTTGCATCGAGGGGTGGGGTGGTATACCCCTTAACAAGTAAGAAATCATACCAAATAGTTCACTCAAATGATATGGACTGGTAGTTACATCTCATAATGAGTAAAATGAAAGATTGTCATTCGCGAGATAGCAAAGATCCAGTTCGCCTCAGAGTCTTTGCTAGGAGAGTATTGAGGACAGAAACATTCGCCACATTCGGAACCCGGTCAGTTCGGAACCCCTCTCTATCATTCGGATTCCCACGGTGTGACAGTCATGTTCTGATAGGATCATCATGGCATGCTGAAGCCTGCCCCCACTGACGCGTCCCCGGCGACCCCACAGGAAGGCCCGGCCGGGCCTCTCAGCCGGGCCCGCCGCCGACTCAGTGCTCTGAGTCCAGTAGAGTCCACTGGCAGCGCAGCCATGACTCACGTGGTGACCCGGCCGGTGAACTTTTCAAGTACAAGTTTGAAAACTTCCTCACCCCCCTTTATTCAGGGTTTTCATGGTCAAAAGGACCGGTACCACAAAGTCACACGAAAAAAAAAGGCTCCCATCGGTTCAATTTACCGACTACCCTGGACTTTCCTAATCATTCATGCTGATCAGGGGGGGTAGGGTATCCTTGGTCATATACTCAGGGTGGGGGTAGTCAGGGGACCAGGATTCTTCCCTAGGGAGGTGGGGGTGATCAATATGATGAGATGTGGTGGAGGTAGTCAACAGTTCTGTTCGGGGTGGGGGTCAGGCCCGTTGGGCCGATTCATGTCCAATCGGAACAGGACTGGAGGGTAAAAGAAATGGCGATGATGGCGAAGAAAGATTGCGAAAGAGAGGAGGGAGCTTGAAGGTCTTACTCGCGTCATCCCATCACATCTCTCCATTGTGTATCGAATGATTGAGAGCAAGGAAGGAAAATAAGATTGGTTCCCTCAAAGAGCACTCACAGTTGTTGTACATCCTCGTCAAGATGGGCTGCGGGTCCTCTAAGGCAGCGCATGCAGAGGCGCCTCAAGTCAAATCTGGCGATGAACCAGAGGAAGTGAAGGATGCCGAGGAGCCTCAAGTGAAGTCTAGTGATCAAGCGGAGGAAGTGAAAGAACAACACAAAGGAGGGGAACAGCGGATTGCCAGTCCTGTGAACGAGAGCCCAGCGGTGGAAGAGAAAGTCTACGTGCAAGCAGCTATTTACGGCCCTCCTGGATCGAACAAGTCGAATCTTTGTGAGCAACTCGCAGCTTCGATAGCACAAGGAGGTCTAGGTACCCCTCCTCCACACCCCTTCCCTGCTGCCTCCTCGACCACTTTCCCTGCTACACCTGACGTGACGTGACGATGATCTCTAGGTCTCCGGCACTTCACCATGGGTGAGATTCAAAGGATGGCGATCCGAGGGAATACCGAACTCGGTCCGAAGGTGATGAAGATGAAAATTATTTCACTCTGAGAGAGAGAGGGGGGAAGGGAGGAGGAGAGTAGAAGAACATAGGGCAGGAGGAGAGGAGAAGACAAAAGAACAAGATAGGACACGAGGAGAGATTAGCCTGCGATGATGATGAGGGATGGTGCAGGTGAAGCAAGCCATGGCTGAGAAGTTCAAGAAAGACAAGGATGCGAAAGACAAAAGCTTCAAGGGGCAGCCCTCCGGACCCTCTGATGAGTTGAACGCGCAAGTGATCGCATGGGTGCTGGAAAATCAGGAAAGCCAGGGGGAGGAGGAGGAAGGAGGAGGAGGAAGGGGGGGAGGGGGGGGGGAGGGGGAAGAGGAGGAGGAGGAGGAGGAATGGGGGGGTGCCGGGGGGTTGACGAAAGTTTGTCAGAAGCCGGAGAACGGTTGGATTCTTGACGGTTATCCCACGACCATGGAGCAAGTAAAGAGCCTGAAGGAACAGGGTGAGCATTTGATGGGAGCTTGTGGGTTGTTGTGATAGATGCCGCAGGTATTGATATCCAACAAGCGGTGATCGTAGTAACACCTGACGCTGAACTCGTTCGGTCAGGAGGAGGAGGAGGAGGAGGAGGAGGAGGAGGAGGAGGAGGAGGAGGAGGAGGAGAAGGAGGAGACTTTGGTAGGGTTCAGGGGTTATGAGGAGGGAGATATGAGTAGAGGACGGGCAGGAGGAGGAGAGGAGGAGGACATTGTGGCAACGGGTTTGTGAAAATGACTAGAAGAGACGTTTTTGTGCCTTGAAAGTTCGTCAACTCAATCTGACTTCAGGTTGATGACTGGGAGGAGGATGGATCTCGAAGAATCAAAGATCTACCATCTCGAAGGTGGTCCCCTCACTGCTCTGACCTGCTGTGACATGTTCTTGTCGCCATGTTAGGGATTGGGGGTTATGAAAAGCCTCCCGAGGAGGTTCGACAGATGTCAATCCCTTGCATCGTGACGGTTGACTCGTGGGTTGATCAGATCAAAGATAGATTGGTCCAGCGCAAAGATGACCAAGAGGAGAAAGTTCTGGAGAAATTAAACGAGTACCATGGTAATGATGTTGAGACATCAGAATCTTGTTATGACATGCTGTTCGCACTTGTAGCTGTGTTTGACCAGGTCGAGAACTTGTTTCCGCAAGTTTTCAAGGTTTTGCAGTCTCAGAAGACGGTCTCTCAGAAGGTGATGATTGTTGTCAGGTTGACGGAACTCTCGATTTGACTGAGACGATCCCGTCGTTGTTGAGGTTTATGAAGAAACCTCAGAAGACAAGTGCGGTGAGGAACTGAGAGAGGTGTGGTTTGAAATGTGAGATGTTTCTGTTTGTCAACAAGGCCAAGGACGGCAAGTCTGGCAAAGATGCCAAGAGCAACGGCAACAACCATGAAAAGAAAGTTGAGATCAGGTCTGAGGGTGGCGATGAAGCGCAGAACAAGAAAGACCCAACAAGAGGAGAAGAAGACAACAATCCTGTATGATCACACGTAGAAAGCCTTGGTTAGATGACGATATTGTGTGCTAAGGTGTCCGGAAGCAGCCATGTAAACAGCAACGATGCTGAAACAGGGAAGAAAGACGAAATTAACGAGGAGTGAACATGGTTGAAACGACTTCAATCAGGCGATTGGATTAGAAAGACATATTGGCTGTGGTTGAACGTCATGTTGCACCTTTTTACCTTCCCGCGGAGAGTTATCATACGAAAAGCATGTAAATGAAAAGATTCAAGATAGTGATGGTGATAACGATTAGAAGCTCCTTCTTCTGTTCTGTAGATACCACAAAGTGTCAAGAGACCATTCTCAACATGCATCTTTCACCGATATTGAAAGTTCCAGGGAACGTGTTGATTTGTTTCTGAATATCATCCATCATGACCCTTTCCTTGGCCTGCGTCGAGCAACTTGTAACTGCAAACTCACGCTCCGCTCCTCTCACCCGAACTTGCTCGTCCCCCTGGTTTTCATTCAGCTCCTGCAAGGAGTGCAGTCAGAGTGGATATGACATGTTTGCTGTAGCACACACCGCTTGCAGCTTGTGGAATTGAGTTCTGATCAGATTCATCTGACGTGTTGCGAGTCAGTGAAGAGGTGATGGTGGTGGGAGGGGCAGACCTGATTGTGTCTCTCCCTGTTGTGCTCCTCGATCTGATGGGAAGAAGTTAGAAATAAGTGCTCTGCGACTGAAGAATGAGGGGAGAGAGGAGAGGAGAGGAGAGGAGAGGACAGGACAGGACAGGACAGGACAGGACAGGACAGGACAGGACAGGACAGGACAGGACAGGACAGGACAGGACAGGACAGGACAGGAAAGAACAGGAGGGGAGAAAGGAGATATATTGTAAGTGAAATAAACAACTTAAGTCAATGTTGCATCATCATCATCATCATCACCACCACCACCACCACCACCACCACCACCACCACCAACAACAACAACAACAACAACAACTACATCAACCATCATCATCACCGTCATTTTAATTCCTTCTTCTCACCTCTTGTTGTTCAGTGTGAAACTTCAAAGAGGCCTTTTGCAGCTGTTCCAATCGTTCTTCGAGCTTTTGGGTCCTTAGAGCATGTTCAGCGCGCTCCTCGCATCTCAGCAAGAGTTGTACAAGTAAACATTTGACGAGCTCAGCAACGTTCGATGATGCTGGCGCGATTCATGAGACAGGATGGAGTGAACGACTTCAAAGGTGAATGTTATCGGCATCCCTGACAACAAGCATGAATGTTGTAGGACAATCTTTCTTTGAGTAACCATGGTCGTCGTGTATCTTCCAATCGTTCCCGTACATCTTGCAAGGAGATGTCATGTGCTCACATGTAGTACAAGCAGACAAGAGACATGCAGTGGCAGTTTTATCTGAACGTCGTCCATGAGCAGAAGCTGGAACAAATGTATCTGTGAGATCCCTGCACATGAGAATCGTCAGTGAGATGTCGACAAAGAGAACAGACGCTCTTCCTAGCACTGTTGAATTTGCGAACAAGTTGGATTTTGGCGCCATGAGGATGAAACGGATGGACATGTCGAAGATGTCTTCGTTCTTGGGAATGTGAAGCTGTTGATTTTTGATAACATCACAACCATACCCTAGCAATCCTCCCAACTCTCCTCCTCCTCCTCTCTCCTCCTCCTCTCTCCTCCTCTCTCCTCCTCTCTCCTCCTCTCTCCTCCCCCTCCTTGCTCCCACCCTGAAAGCACCTTCCTCTCCATATCCCCGGCCCTTTGTCTCTCCTTCCACCTCCTCCTCCTCACCTTGATTTCTTCACTCCAGATGGGAAAACCATTGTAGACATCTCTTACCGAGCTTCTCGCCTTCTCACTGTCCCAAGTCACCCGAGGAGGGGGGAGAGGTGCTGCTCACTTTGATTTCTCCTCCTTGATGAAGAGCGAGGCCTCGACAAAACAGCTGCTGACTGAGCTGAGCAAGAAAACATCACATGCTCTGCACCATGGGCAACATGCAAATATTTCACTTCTCCCAGAATGATGAGCTCAAC